GTGTGTGTGGTTGTGTGTGTGTGTGATGGTCTCTCTTGGTCTGTCTACACTCATGTTTCTGTTAGTTCAGTATGTGCTTTTGCATGTTTTCTTTTATGTTTTGTCTTTTTTAGTCAAGGTATCTATCTGTCTGATATTAGTGTGGCATGTAGAACTGGATGCTTCTCTTCAAGAAAACTGGGCCACTGCAGCCTGTTACTGGTGTCCGAGGCCCAGGGCCAGGCCCAGAGACAGACCTGGTTCTGGATTATTAATGTCCCCCCCTGTGGAGCCAGGCCCCCTCCCCCACCCAGTGCCCCCCTACACTCCCGGGGTCAGCCTACATGGCTCCTGGTGCAAGGCCCCCCTCATAAATCTCCCTAAATTAGTGTGTCTATGTGTGTGTGTGTGTGTGTGTGTGTGTGCTTCTATGCTTAAACATATACTGCAGGCAGGGAGACAGGTCACCACGAAAACAAGCCAGTCAGGCTCTTGGTTGAAGTGTCAGTGATGCATGGCGGAAAGCGCGAAAGAGAGTTGCAGAGAACAGAAAGAATACGAGAAATATAACACAAGGGAAGGAAAAGAAAATATACAAAGAATGAGCCGAGGAAGCTATTTGGTTCTCTGAGAGCGCCAGACTTCACTTTTAGTTTGGTTGCCCAATTTGTCACTCCTTTTTTCCCGCTGTAACATTATATTTGCTTACAAATATTTACACTTAATTTGAACTTGCCTTTGACTTCATTAAGATCGATTTCCTGAACAAATCTTAATGCTTAATTGCTGAAGTGCAGGATCTTCCATTCCTCTACCTGCCTATATTAGTTCAACATGTCCCACGGTGGTAACAGGCATGGGGAAGTGCTGTTGTGTCACTTAGTTAACCCCCGAGACAAATGGCTCCCCTCCGGAGCACAGTGAATTACACACCTCATGAAGCATATTAGGAGCCAGACACAGTGCTTTTCTTCTGGAGATGATCTGTATGGCAGAATGGATGGAGGGAGAGGGAGAGAAGAGGGCTGAGTTATGGCATCACCCACAGCCATTTTTACAGCACATTGGAATCAGAACAAAACAGAGAGAACAGAGAGAGGAGGGGCAAAGAGTAAAGAAATGAGGCACAAAGATGTACAGCACAATGTGTAACAAAAGGCTGGAAAGATGAATAAACTCGAACTACAGAGGAAGATAAAACCACACAGTTCTAAAGTTATCCCTGTTAAATTTGACAAGGAAAACAACTCTTTACCTCATTTGTTGCTAATGTAGGAAAATTATTAGAAAATATAACAGAATTGTCCCTCGGAGGCTTCCTTGCTGTTAGCTAATCGCTTAGACAATCTTTATCACCACAGTAATAATATTTAGATGCTACAGGGATTACTTAAAAGTTGTGTTATAATTGCTTTCCTTGTTTTGTTTTTTATGGGCAGAGGGTGATTTTGTGTTTAATTGCTCCAAAGTGACAAATAATGCCCGTTATGATATGATGAAAGTGTGAGATCATTAAATTACTACGGCGACCGGCTGCATGTGTTTATTCGTTCGTTTTCGCTGTTACAAATTTATGCCACGAGGCTTCAAGAGGCCAAGCAGTTATTTACACAAATTCACTTCCACAGCCATTCCTGGATTTGGGGGTAATTACGTGAGAGCAAAATGGTTTTATTTCATTTAATCCGGCCGCCGCAGCAATTTGCACTGGTAATATTTGTAGCTGTGGAGTCTGCACAGTAAAACAGCTTGAAACCAGCAAGAGTCTCAAACACAAACAAGGTAGAGGGGGCAATAATCAAAAAAAGAATTTATGCAGAAACAATACTGTCTACAGACCAACTGACAATTTATGTTTTGGGATCAGATACAGTTTTAGTTGTTTTTTAACATTATCTGTAACAAATTGAAACATTGTATGTAGCGCCGGAGCCAGGATATTACATATACTTTTATTTTTTTCTGTACATTTTATCTCACTACATAATGATCTAGATGCTGTTTCTACATTGCTAAAAAAAAGTCCAATTTAAAAATACTAGGTCTAAAAAATACCAAAATCATCCGTAAAAAAAAAAACGTGTGATTTTTGTGTAATTGCTGAATGTATGTAATTGCTAAAGGTTGTTAAAATCCCCAAATTTCCAGAGAATATACCGACCTGACTGAGGTTACCTCAGTGGTAGCTACAGCAGTGATCATATGTGTATTGAGTCCTGGTAGGAATTGATTAAATATTTTTCTTTCTGATTTCATTTCTGCTGTGTTTAACAGAAAGTACAAATCATAAAAGACAAAGAAGAAATGCAGACCTTAAGTACATTTGTTGACACAATAACCAGTAAGCTAGAGTAGCTAGACTGCCCAGCAAACACCTCCCACCAATCTGTCAGTTGTGCTGCCATTAGGCTCGGTACATGAAAACTAGTTAGCAAGTGAATAGACAAGCAGAAATACTTCATGAACATGATGGGTGGTGTCAATGAAGCAGTACTTTAGCTCATCAGAAAGGGATCTGGGGGCTTCGCCTGACAAAAAACAGTTGGTAACCACCGCTGTAAAGTCAACATCAAAAACACAGCAACGGTTGTGAAGCAATACATGATCTTTTTTGTTGATTAAAAAGGGAGGAAAACATAATAATAGAGAGCTCAACAGAGAAAATAAGAGAATTATAGGCTATCGTCAGTTATCTGTCCATATTTACTGGTCAGCTGTCAATCAGATTATCCATAAATCCTTATGGTAATCTCTTTGCTATTGCATATCAACACGCACTGCTCTTTATCCACCCCCCCTTCCCTGCCACACACCCACTCTCTGTTGATCCATGTAAATGTGTGCAGCGGTGATTCTAGTCCCCCGGCTCCCGGGGAGATGAGATAGAGCACCGAGGATTCAACATGCTACAGTTTTGTAATGTTTCCGTGCAGCTGACTCCAGACACCTTAAGTCATGTAAATAATGAATCAGATGATCCACGCGTGCAGGAGATCGAGGGGACACGCTGACATATGGCAAAGCGAATGAAGCATGCTGACTCTCTGACTTACTGTCTTCATCTCTTTTTTGCACTCGATATCTCAGCACAGACTCACTTTTCCTCCACCTTCTCCTCCTTTCTCTCTCAAATCCAAACTCGAATGTTTAACCTCCTGATTTGGTCACCTCTGACTCTGGTGACCCTAACTTTCCCGTACCCACTTATCCATCATCTGTCCATCATGAATATCTCAGAGGAGGAGGAGAAGGACACATTGGGAAAAGAGTGGAGTCGATGAATTAAACAGGAGGTGCAGTGAGGAAGGTGGAGTATGTTGGACAAGTGGATGTAGTCCACAGCTGTCTGCGAGGCTGCTCTCTGACCTCGAGGAGATAAGAAAGTTGGGAGACCCTCAGCCTTTGGGGTCCAACAGCCACTGTAAAAAAAAAAATCCATCTCTCTGCTTCATGAATTATTGAGATATTGGCCTACAGCTTCTAAAATATACAGGAGGGTGGTCTGTCTCTCCTTTCAGATTTCACATACTCTCTACCATGTCTGTCTTTCTATCATTTTCTCCTCTCACTTTCTACTTTCCTCCCTCCCTCCCTTCCTTTCTCTTTTTCTTTTTCCCCCCTTCACATTCAGATTTAGCCTCTTGCGCCAGCAAGATCGTAAATCAGAACACAAACAAAGCAGGAGAAAAAAGAAGAGAGAGACAGTTTGTTATTCAGATCATACAAGGCTTTTTCTTCCTCACTTGAAGAAGAGTGTCTACCACTAACCAGCTGTCATGCATTTAAAAGTTGTCAGGGATAAATTCACGAGTTCTTGTGTTACATCAGATGCTTGTAATGCGCACAGCAGTCGGCTGGCCCTTGAAATGAGACAGAACTCTAGTCTGTCCATTTATCTTCTTTGGTCTCTTGTTGTTGTTTTTTTCTAGATGAAGCAATTGTCCAAGGCACGCTGCTGCTTACTGTGTTTCTCTTGACATATCTCTCTTGTGTGTGTGTGTGAGGCGTTTGCTCGTGCATGATTATATCTAAGGCAGTTGGCTCCAAATGCGCTGCCCAGTGCAGAATCCTAGCCATAACAAATGAACAGAGGGTAGAAAATAAGACATATGAAAGAAAAGCTGAGCAAAGGAGTGATTCTCTCTCTGGCTGGTGGAGATCTGTATTGTAAGCAGTTTCAGCTGTCAGCACTTCTTTGAGCTACCTCAAAGGGAGGAGGAGGAGAAGGGGGGGGGGATGTTGTAGTTTTATTTTCCCCCTTTTGAGGGTTCCTGTTTATTTGTACACGGCGCTGTTTATTTTCACGGTTCATTTGATATCAGGTTTTTTTTTCTTTTGAGAGAGACAGACAATGCAGAAGGTAGAGTGGAAGAGATGTATAGTACTGTAGTTTCAGTTAAAGAAGAAGTTGTCATGCTTCAAGCCTTGGGGTGGGGCTAGGGAATAAATTGTCAGCCATCCCCTTTCTGCTTTTCAGGCCTCTGGTGCCCCCCCTCCCCGCCCACTCCTCCCTTTACTCCTCCGACCCTCCCTCCTCCCTCCCTCCCTCATTAAGTATTGATGTGGGTAGCCATACTTGCCATCTCAGCCTATTAATAATGCATGGCAGGTGCTGTTGATGTGGTCTCTCACACTGAGATTGAGAGAGGCAGGAATGGCAACACTGTGCTGCATAGTAGCTACAGCACAACCTCCGTCACACCGCTCTGCCGCTGGGGGGGCCTGCGTCTGCCCCGGTGAGTTTATGGCAAGCTGTGACAGCAGCTCGGAGATGGATATACAAGGTAGCATCTTACTCAATATCCCAGAGCAGTTTTTACATAGAAGAAACTGTCTTTGTCATAAACAACTGATGTATGGGGGTGGGATAGTGTATGAGCCTTGTCTGCCACTGCTGTTTTATTTGTTTTATTTGTATTTGTATTTGTAACATTGTTTTGTTGAAGTAGCTCATGCTGTACTTTCAGTGGCAGACAGCTGCTCATTTGTTTCTCTCTCTCTCTCTCTCTGTTTCTCCGTAGGTTCTTCCTTAAGTTCTTCCTGAAGTGCAACCAGAACTGCCTGAAGAATGCAGGGAACCCTCGAGACATGAGGCGTTTTCAGGTGAGATGCAACTGTCTGCAATCATACCATATGTGTTGTATAGAGAACAAGGACCACCCTTCCAAGCGCTGTCTTTCAGATTATTTTTGCAAAGCACCAGACTTGGCAACAGCATCCAGTTGAAGAGAAACAAAGCATTTACAAGGTCCCTTTCACATAAATGCTCTCTGTGCTTTCCAAGGGATAAATCCAGTGAGAAAAGAGAGTATAGTACACTCTTACATTACCAAACAACAAATAAAATTCTCATAAAATACAGTCTTGTCAAATTTAACAACAAACAATATCCATGCATGAACCTGCATACTAGCAATTGTAGAGAAACAAAGCATTCACAAGGTCTCTCTTGCATAAACGGTCTCTGTGCTTCTGTAACAGCAAAGTTACAAAATACCCCAGACTAGTCAACATGGTCTCAACAATACACTGTGTTGCAAGCTACACAGCAGCCCTGCCACAAGCATGCTTCAAAAAACTTGTAATTATCAGACAAATGGATGAAAATGAATTACAGTTTCACTCCAAAACATATAAAATACTCACTTAACACGTATTTAAAGCTGATATAATTGCTGTCTTTATGCTAAAAATGGGCCCAGTAACTATGTGAAATATGAAAGGGGACGCTTGTAGTGATGAATCCACTTACTTTAGTGAAAACGCTCTCAAAAGCCAACTGTATACCTGCCCAGTACCAAAAAGCAGGCAGCCAAAGTCAGCGACTAACAGGTGAACATAGTGGAGTATTTAGCAGCAAATAGTTTCTAAACACAGAGCTAAAACGAGAATGAATGTTGGATTTACATTTACCAGGTGGCCAGAAACACATTTCCAAATAAATCGTCATATATATAGCAAAAACACAGAAAGCAGGGAAAAGTCTAGAACAAAAAGTAAAGCTAGCCGAAATGCAAGATACGGTTTGTAATATAAAATAAATAAATAAAGTGCGTAGCTTCTTGTAGTGTACTGATTCTACATTAGGACGCATTTTACTCCATTCAGTATATTAACAATTTAACTTATGTGAATATGAACAGGAGTACATAATTCAGGACAACAGCATACACACTACTACATATATCATTTGGAGGTTTCTATATCAAAGTGAGGTTTATTATAGTTCTATGGTTTCCGACTGTCTTTCCCTTTTTCAGGTGGTTGTGTCGACTACGGTGAGCGTGGAGGGTCATGTCCTGGCTGTCTCCGACAACATGTTTGTGCACAACAACTCCAAACACGGGCGCCGAGCTCGAAGACTGGACCCCTCGGAAGGAACACCGTCCTACCTGGAACACGGTATTAAAAGCAGGAACAAAACACCCAGGCTCTCTCGCCGATCTTTTCTTTGTCTTCCTCACTTTCTTTCTGTCTGTTCACCTCCCCTTCGCTCCCTCCCTCTCTCACCCCCTTCCCCCCAGTCTGGCTCCGCACTCTACCCCTCCTCTGTCTCCACTCTATCCCTCTCAAACCTGCTCTCTTGCCTTCTTTCTTATCTCTCTCCTGCTTCCTCCCAGATTCTCACTTTCCTCTCTTGTAGGGTTTCTAACTCGAGCTAAGGGAGGAGAGAAGGGTAGCTAGTGAGTCTCTTGTCTCTCCCTGGTGGCTTGCTCCCCTCAGGTCTCTGCCTCTGGGCCTTTTACTCTGCCTCGCATAAGCACTATGTGTCTTATGAGGTCTGTTCTGCTTAAAGCCAACACTGGCTTTATTTCCTCGGAGACCTGCTTTTATCCTCCAGCCCTCCATCACTCCCCATCCCTCAGGTTTTCAAACACACCCATACACACACAAAAAAGCCCATGCACACACATACACACCCCCGCATGCACAGTCAGACCCAAACCTTTAATACTTCATAATGACATGTGCACATGATTTAGGAGCCCGCACTGATTCCCAGGTCCCTAATCCAGTTATTTTCTCATTTCGATTTCCCAGACATTGAATAAGAGAAACATATTTTTTTTCTTTGAGGAAAGTCAACCTCAGGGATGATAATGACAAAAAACTAAGAAGGGATTTACATGATGGCCTACAGTAGATTGCATTAAGATTGAATGTTGTGGTTCAGCCTTTCTAATGACTATTCTCCAGAGGTAAGGTGGACCACTTGTCCCTGTGACTGGTCTCACAGACGATTAGAAAGTTCACAAAGACGAGACATATTGGAGACGTCAGCGAGACTTGGATCTTACACAGAAAGAAGAGTACACACAGTACACTAACAGATGTTCCCTGTGTCAGGGCGATTTGTTTGGGAATTTCCTCTTCTCTGATTTTCTGTTCTCCCGATGACTGGGGTTGGAAGGAGGGACAACATGAGTGAAAGATCAAGAAAGAGGAGGAGAGACGTAAGAACGATGAGAGGAAGGGGTAAAAGTTCATAATAGTATAAAGAAAAGATGAAATTATAAGAAGAATTATAAGAAGACAGTGGTTTCTTTCTTGTTTTTAGTGTGTGTTGAGTTTGTGTGCAGGACACACAACTTTGGGGGCCCATTTCAGGCGGTAATAGATGAGCAGCGCATAGAGTTGAACAGATGGCACAGAGGAACACCCCAAAGTATAATCCTATCACATGGATTCACGTTCCACCATCTGGTTAATCCAAACACACACACACACACACACACACACACAATAACACACACGTCCACACATGCACATGGAGCGCACATAATATCAGCGGCTGTGAAAAAGAGGCATCTTAGGCCATGATTACGGCCACAGATTGCTGCTTGGTGAACGTTGATCTCTGCAGGCGTATCGGGGGGCTAAATATCATTCCAGCTTGTTGGGGAGGATCAACAGAACAGGGAGTCAGGCAAAGAGCAAAGGCTAGGCTTCAGGGAAAAAAAAGTCAGCCCAGTCTAAAGTGGATTATGCCGCTTTACAGAATTACAACATGTCTGACAAGCTGCATATCTGTTAAGGAGAGGAGATTTAGCTTGTATAAACATGTATTTTCCCAATGCTGTTCTTTTCTTCAATCACATCCCGTAATCTCCAAGTCCATAAAACCAAAAGATAAGGTCAAAAAGCACATTGAATACCAGTTATTGAAAATATGGTTTATTGTTGTTATTCCATGTACTTTGTCCGATAAGACATGAAGAATATGCTTTAAGAGAAAACATTGAAAGCTTACAAAACGCATTACATATGTCCAAGCAGAAGCTGAAATGACCCTGTGTGGTCATGTTCAGGCTCTGAGATAGCTACACGGATATATATAAAACAGACAGCTGAGCAAGAGCTAAATGTTTGGTTAATGAAGGAAGCGTATTCAGAGGGCAGAGCTACTGTTGGCTCTGCTCTGCTCCCCGGTCGCGTGGCCTTTGATCAGACACTCAGCACACCTGACATTTACATGCCTGCACGCTTTGCCACGTGTCATAAAACAAGCGCACCGCCGCTGCCCTCACACACAGGGCAGGGGTGATGTTAAATAACGGGCTGCGTATAATCACTCTGATTAGTATTCCTCGCTCGCCTCCGACCCCTGGGAGGAGAGAGGTGATGTGTGTGTGAAAAGGAGAGAGAGATGGGAAGAAGAGGGGACTATATGGTGCCAAAAACAAAGACCTTTATGGGCTGTCATTAAGTTAGTTAGCATCTAATCTGTTTTTATCTGTGAATCTTGCAGCAACCCCCAGCATCAAAGCCATCAGCCCCAGTGAAGGCTGGACCACAGGGGGCGCTACCGTCATCATCATCGGGGACAACTTCTTTGACGGCCTGCAGGTCATCTTTGGAACCATGCTTGTCTGGAGTGAGGTTAGTCACCATCTGGTCACCGGAAAGAAACAGTGTTTGTGTGTATGTGTGCATCCTACCAAATATTATATACTATATTTACTACATAGTATATAATATGTATATGTTATATATTATACTATAAACCAACATTTCCCAAACATTTTGGCCTGGGGCCCATTTAAAACAAGATAATGTATGTTTGCAGCCCGTTGTCACGGATTATGGCCTTGGTGTAAGCGTTAATGAATCAAAACATAAACAATATTTCAAATGGAATATATAGAAAACATATATATATATCTTGGGATCCTATGTTGGGAACCATTGCTAGAAAGTAGGGGCTAAATCAATTTGTTAATTAAGAAAAGAGATTATTTTCTTTTACTATTGATTCATTCAAGTAATTTAAAGTAAAATGCCAAACATTAGTTGGTTTCAGATTCTCAAATGTAAAGATTTTTGTTTCACAGCAGCGTAAATGTAATATATTTGAGATTTTTTTACTTGACAAAGTAAATGCGTCACCGTGGCCTTTTTTTAATAATTTTTTTTAAGGACGAAAAAATTTATCAGGTAACTGAAAAATATTCATTAATTAATGACAATAAGCATTAATTGCAATCCTACTATAAACCCATATCAAAAATGTTTCACACTCTGAACACCTTGTTTTCTCTCAGTAGCAGGTCTTATTTTTGTCATATCTCTTTTCAACTCCCTTCCTGTCTTTTAATATATTAGTATCTGCCTCCTTGGAATATGTGCACACCGTACAGTAGGGATGTCTTTGTAAGGAGCATCTGCCACATGACTAAAATGTAAATGTAGTGTATGTGTGAAATTGAAGGTCAGTCAGCGGTGCAGCTAAACAGCTTTCTCTTTAGTAAAGGAATAATTCTATAAAAAGCTCTTATATTATCTTGCTGAGAGGTGAGTAGGGCCAGACAATGGTAGAATAAAAGCGTAGCTAAGTGAGCAATGAAAGGGACAGTTATAACAACACACACACACACAC